TTTTTTGTGCTCTCCAGTGGCCATACCCAGATTCTTTTAACATGCGTGCAACAGTGCGTGTAGAAATGGGCATCCCAAGTAATTTGCAGATATCTTCGGTTTTGATAAAGGGATCCCGCTTGATTTGTAAAAGAATATATCGCTTATCAGCATCAGAAAGGATTTCTGGCCGTCCAATGCGAGGAGAACTAGTGCCAGTGGTGGAGGACTGATATGTTACAATGGTGGTTTGGATTGTTGTATATGGTAAATTCATTGCGCGCTGAATATCGGCCTTTTTCTGGCCTGCAAGGAATCGTCCAACTATAATCCCCCGTTGAAAAGGTTCTAATTCCTTTCTACTAGTCCTATTAGAACTAGTAGACTGCAAAGGGGCGTGAGGCATGGTGTAGGTGGTTGAAAAAATAATAGACAATATCTAGTAGCGCGTCGCACAACGCGGAATTACGTAGAATTTTGTCATGTGACTGTACAACATGCAAGTCATCATCATATCTGTATACATGCCAGTCAGTCATTTCATGTCGTCGTCAAACAAACATCCAACATAAGCCAACAGATCAGTAAATCACTCAGCCGCCCAGTTCATAACATAACATCCTCATCTATCTATGTACCAGATACATCGCAAAAAAACCAAATATCAGAGATCCCAAAATACCCAAAGACATTTCATCAGGTCATGTCATCGAACATCAATCAAGCAAGAAGCAAAAGTAAAGAGATACGCATGGCACGGCACTACTGAGAAGAGAATCAGTATCCATACCCGCCATAACCACCTCCATAGCCCGAACCGTGATGGTGGGAGTGCGAGTGGCGAGAATGTTCATGGCTATGTCCCGAATTGTGGCTGTGTGAATGGCCGCCGGAGTGCTGGTGACTGCTGTGGCCATGAGCACTGTGGGAGCTGTGGGAACTGGGGTGGCCACTGGCGGAACCGTAGTACGACGACGACTGTCCGTGGGAGGTGTGCGACGGGGTGTGATGGCTGCTGGACTCGGAGTACGAGGGCTCGTTCTTTGTTTCCCTGGCCAATCCGCCCGGGATGAAGTTTGAGAACTTGCTCAGGTTCGAGATACCCGGGATGGGAAGTTTGGAGATCGAGTCCCAGGGCATAGAGGAGCCACCACTACTACCACTGGATTGATGTTGCTGCTGTTGCTGATGAACACCGGTATTCTGGCTTTCCATAACAGGGAATCCACCAGATCCGTGGGAATGGCCACCAGATCCGTGAGAGTGACCGACTTGTCCGCCGTTGTTCTTACCAGACTTCACACCCTCGGAGCCGAGGATATCGTTCAGGTTCCTGCCTCGGTCCTTCCGGGAGTGAACCCACGATTCCACAGCCTCAAACATGGTGCGATGGGCATCGTTGCGCATATCCCGGATAGCAGGGTGGTGGAACGCACTCAGACAGTCGTGGATGACCTCCTGCTCAGGGACGTTGGGGTGCTCCCAGGCGTACAAGACACGAGGAGCGACGTACTTCACGATCGCGGCCGCGACGTGACCGGCAGGCTCATTGAGAATGTTGGAGAAGTGGTCCTTGGAGAGGAGCGAGTGCGTAGGGTCAGTGCACATGGGGTCGGTCCAGGGTTCGTACTGGTGCTTGCCAGATGCATCGATGACGCCTGCGGAGCCGGTCTGGAGGGAGTTGGATGCGGCGCTGATGAGCGGGCGAACGAACGGAGCCAGTAGTGACATGACGAAGACAGTGAGCGTGTCTGAGATCTTCTCCACGGCGGTTTCGAGACCGGGGATCTTCTCGATGATCGAGGTGAGCTTGCGCACGACCTTGTCCCGGAATGCGAGAATGGGGTAGATCTGGGCAATCGTCTTGTTGGGGTCAAAGTCTGGGAGCACCGAGGAGCCGCCACTAGATGAAGATTGCTGGGTTGGCTCCGATCTGCTCGTCGCTCCGAGATCCCGGGTCGAGTAACCAGAACGAGAACCCCGGCCCCGGTTGGAAGTCTCCTGCACATCTGACTGACGCTTGAGGTTCTCGGCCTCCGAGACGAGTTCCCTGGTCCCAGGGATCTTGCCCAGAAGTCCCGTGAACGCACCCAAGGAACCACCAGACGAGTTCGTCTGCGCATCACCCAGCGCAATATCCATTTCATTAACCTCCGACTGGGTGAAATGATCGGTAGCCTCTCCAAGCACCGAATGGAAGAAATCCACCATACCAAAGGTACCAGTCACAAGCGGAAAGACGCGACGACCATGGAGGTTAATCTCAGTGCGAACACCCGTATGCGGGAAAACATTATGGAATCCCATCTCGCGCAGCGCAAGCTCGCAGTAATTCGTGTGCGCACCAAAGTCCTCCATCGTATGGAGAGCCTGACCCATGCAGCGCAGCGCCTCAGAAAGATCCTCCTCATTTCCCTTGCGCCCAGAACTGGTATAGATCCGTCCGTAGTGGATGCTGCGAGACAAGCTGTGCTTGATATAGGCGCTGCTTGTATCCCAGTCGCCGCGCTCGTTGGCGATGTAGTTCTTCATTCCGGTCTTCGGGTCGATGTCGAGTTCGACCTGGCGCACGGGAGGACGGAGACGCTTGTCGTACTGGCGAGCATCCATATTGTCGGCGTAGTCTTTGGGGTTGCTAGAAACAGCAAATGTCAGCGACACTCGATTCAGCCCGTGGAAAGCGTAGGGACGCACTCAATATGCTCCTCCGGGCGATAAACCCCCAACCTATCCGACGTAACCTCAAACTCGCCCGTCGCAAACCGAAACGACATAAACGACAGAATCCAAACAAGAATCCGAATCGTATCCCCAGGAAGACTCTTAAGCGTGCCGACATCCATAGCCTGGGAGCTGTAAAGTGCCTTGTCAGCATCGCACACTCAAAACCCAGCACCAGCTGAAAATGACGTACTAGTCCCTCAGCCAATTTCCAAAATAAACCCTCTTGATCATAATCGACGTCCATTCGTGACCTTTAATAAAGGCGACGGTCTTGAGCACATCTTCGATATCACCATGGCGCCAATTCTTGCCCTCGACGGCGGAGATGGAAGCGATGTCTGCATTATTAGCACAGCTATTATGGACTTGTCGCAGGTGAATACATACTGCCAGCGCCAAAAGCATGGACCTGCGCGGGGAGGACGACCAGCAAGAGGCCCAGAATGAGCAGGGCGTTGAGGGCCGAGTTGGCCATGTTCGTTTTGTTGTTTGCGATTTTTTAAAGCTCAGCTGTATGTAGTCTGCAGGGCGTGGGAATGCGATCGGAGATGAGTTGTATTATTGAAGGTATGCAGGAGCCAAAAGACGACGATGTAAGAGACGCTACTAAGAGGACTCGATTTGCAAATGAAAAATACAAACAGACATCATCAGATCAACAGCAGCTCTACTAAGAGGGGTATTACATACTGTATGTTACCAGTATGTATCAACATGGTATATATATATTACATAAATTACATATAACTGTATATACATACAGTACATACAGTACATACAATACATACACAAAAGTCAAGTGAACATCAAAAATAGAATGACAACTATCGACCAGAGATTACTCTGGGGAGAGGACGTCGCTGAATAAATAAAAAAGCTCGAGTCCCCTATTTCGATCGACAATCTGCGAATTATTTTTGGCAGTGTGCCCTCAGTCCCTGATCTATATTTAACACGGTAATATCCGGGTTGTTGATCATTATGAGCGAACATAGCAGTCTGTCATAAGAGCATAGCTATCGAGTACTTGTACATCCGTATCGAGTATTGAGGAATCCATAGTTTGCGGAGTCGTATTTATATGAGTAGAAGTACGCGTAAATAAGGGTTCAGGAGGCAGGTTAAACCACGGAAGCGCTTCTCCTGTCTATTGATGCTCATCCATGGGATCGTCATGACCTCTCACTTACTCTATTAAGATGGACTCGAGTCATTGCGATATTCTTGATTGACAGTAAGTATTTATAGCATATTGTTTTTAGCATATGACGATAATAATACTGCTAATTATGAATGTCACTGACTCTCATAACTATGTACGGAGTAGTAGTATGAATTACCCCTGGATCACTAATTGACTATTTTGGGCGATACCCCGCCATGTCGCGGGGTAACCCAGTTACTGATAGCTATGGGCATGTCTACGCGATAGAGCGCTCTAGATACTGCTGGTGACGGCTATTAACGGCACACAACGAAATAGAATTAACATACAGCGTAGCATCCAACTGTCAGATCATCCATTCCCCTCAACAGAGTTACAATTACATCCCCTCTCAGCCTTCAGCCTCGTAGACATAATAAACCCCACTCTGATTTCATCCTCATCATCACCAACAATACCAACCACCTCAACATTTCACATCAACTCCGTACGCAAAACCCATAAAAACATAAAAAGAAAAGAAAAAAAAAAACCCCCACAATGACAAACAAATACCTCTCCTCCCTCCAACGCGACGGCTACGTCCTCATCCCGTCCCTCCTCGCCCCCACCGAAATAACCAACCTCCGCAATACCGCCTCCCGCGCCGCAACTCTCGCCCGCACCGGCTCATGGCCGCATTTCCGTACCGTCCCTAAGCAATTCCCACCATGGCCGAAAGACCCCCCGCCAGCGGAGGAGGGCGGTATCTGGGGCGTGCAACATCTGCTGCATCCCGAGGTTGAGGGGCGGAGTGAGTTTGCGGGTGTATACTTTTCGGAGAAGGTGTTGGGGATTGTGGAGGAGTTGCTCTTACCGGACGGCGATAAGGGAGAAGGGGAGGCGCTGGTTATGGAATTGTTTAATATGCTGGTCGCGCCTGAGACGAGGGACTTTGAACTGCGCTGGCACAGAGATGATATCCCCGAGACCGCGTCGGCGGAGGAAGAAGAGCGTCTGCTTCAGGCTAAATCCCCACAGGGACGACAGTCGCATGCGCAGTATAACCTCGCGCTGTGTCCCGATGCTTCTCTAGTGGTCGTGCCAGGTTCGCATCGCCGGGTACGCACTGAAACCGAGCGTAACGCTGCGCCCTATGAACCCTCTCTACCCGGGCAGAAGGTCGTGGAGATGCAGCCTGGCGATGCGGTGTTTTATAATAGTAATATCCTGCATCGCGGGGTGTATAAGGGCAAGCCGGCCGGGGGTGCGGAGACGCGTTTGACGCTGCATGGGAGTGTTGGGTTGAAGGCTGCTGGGGATCAGAAGGTGAGGGCGACGGCGGTGTTGCAGCATGGGGTTGGCGCGTGGGTGCATCGGCAGGATGCGGCGTTTGGGGTGGGTGAGCGGGCTGAGTGGATGAGGGCGAATTTGGTGGCTATGGGGACGGGGGAGGGTGTTGGGTATTCGTTGCAGGGGTAGCTTACTGTCTAGAACCTGGATATATGATGAGCCATGAATGCATTGATTCAATTATACCAGATACCAGCCGGGGGTATAAGCAACAACAATCAGCCAACAACCAAAATAGGGTCTGTATCCCAGTCAAAATCGCTAAAACTGTATGTATCAAAATCATGGAGTCGTAATTCATAAGTCAAAAGAGAAAGCAGCAGCAGTCACCCGTCCATTGGCCGCTGCGCATATACATAATGGAACATTACATGGGTATGCAACGAGGTATTGAGCAACTCCGCCCGAACCTGGTCCACCCATTCCTGAGCTTCCTGCGAGGAATAACCCAGAACCCGTGTCCACAGAGCCAGTGTATAAGGCTCAATGGCGTCGTATAATGTCACTTTGCCCACTCGTCCGATCTCTTTCAATCGGGGGTTTTTGGGCCATGAACCAACGGGGCACTGGCACAATTAGAAACCTGCAATAACAACATATGGTTTTTGGTTTACACACCTTGTAAATGTCATCCGTCACATTGGTAAATCCCGATTCTCGCATCCACCCGGCAAGGGCAGGCGCTATATTCATGCGCCTCCCAAAAATCTGACTGGAGATATCCAGTAGTTTCTGCCACTCCTGAAGCCTCACAGCCCGCTCATGCATCCCATCATCCGACGACACCCAAGCCTCATACTCCTGCACCTCCACCCACCCACCCGGTTTCAGGTGCCTATACGCCTGCTGCAAAAACTGCTTCCAGTCCCCAATACCCCCGCACAATGCCCGCACATGGATATAATCAAACGCCTCGTCTTGTGTAAACGTCCAATCGCTCTCCGCATCATCAACAAAGAACCGGCAATTCGGCGGCACAAAGTTCGGCTGGATGGGACTTAGATCCGTCCCTACAATCTCAGCGTCGGGGAAATCCTCCGCCATTTCCAGGGCCCAGACGCCCGTTCCCGTGCCAATGTCGAGGACGCGTCCTGGCCGTCGGTCACGGGTGATCGGGGCACGGTATAAGTCGCCGCCTGTTAGCAGGCGGAAGAGATGGTGCATGAAGGCGAGTCGGTCCTGTTCTTCTTCGTCGTTGGGCAGGGGGTATAGGCCCTGGCGGTAGGCGTGGTATCGACGGCCATTTTCGTAGTAATAGTCACGGACGGACGAAGTGATGGAGAGAGTGGAATCAACGATGGAGTCTGCGTCGCATACGGAATCTTCATCGCTTGTCTGGAAGGAATTGTCAGTAACCTTTCCCCCCCTTCTTGTTTCAATGTGTGTTGTGTATATATTAGCAGCAACAAGACAGACCAGATCAGAACACATACGAGCCAGTATAGAATAAAAACAGCAAAGCAAATACAGAATAGAAGGATCAATCAATTAATATAGTACAGCCATGGAGCAACTCCATACGTCAGTATCAACATCACCATATATTTTCCTTGTCTCAGCTCCTGCAGCTAGATAAAAAGAAAAAAAAAAAAAAAAAAAAAAAAAAAAAAAACAAACCATTGCCCATCGTAATTCATATCCTTTGATTGCTCGTATGCGTCTTTTTTTTTTTTTTTTTTTTTTCTCAACTGGCATTGCATGACAGGGAAATCAATAATGAAAAAACGTGCGTATCTTACATCCACTTGAATCCGTTCATTGGGATTGGGCTGGGACATGCTCGAACAAATCGAGCCACTGGCAGAGAAGGAGAGAGTGAGAGATGAAATGGCTGCAATGATGACAGCAGGGCAAACGAATGAAAGAGACAGACAGAAAGAGAGAATGAAAAAAAGAAACGAGGGAAAATCAGCGGTGTTAAGAGCAAGAATAATACTACAAGCAAGTAAGAAGTAAAAGAGTAAAATAAAAAAGCAGGGATGCGACCCAAGAGAGAGGATGCCGGGTCTGACTGATGGGCGGTGTGCCACCCGCATGGGTGGTATTGTACCGTATTTCATTGGAGTACATGTAGTATACACATCAAGCAATATAGGTACTTGTATACATATATAATTGTACATGAGTTACTTGAGCACATCCAATTACTGATTGATAACAACAGCTCACTACCCCTGGTAAATTATATCCTGTAGAGAATGAGTATTCTCTGAGGACAAGTACTCCGTACAGGTATGAAGATAAAGTACGTATCGTAACCCCGCAGTCTCGGGAATTTGACCTGCAGCCTCGCACCGCAAAGAAAGAAAAGAAGCGGAACAGAAACAGAAATAAAAAGGAAGAAAAAGGAAGAAAACGAAGGAACGAAAGTTTAAGTTGGAAAGACAAAGAATTACCGGGCTAATGGTTTTAGTCTTGCATACTTGGCGTCTTTACCACCGGGCTCTCTGCCCTACTGTACGGAGGACGGAATATACCCTACAAAGAACACCGGTATAACTCGAGGATCAAAGTACTGCTTCTACCCAGAGGTATTCCTCTCCAGGAACCAATCCCTGAAACCCGTATGAACACGCTCTCTTTCTGAGGTGGCAATTAACTGGCGCCAGCAAAAACATACATACAGCCTGCAGCGGAACCGTCAGTCCGGCTCCAACACCGCAGGATTTTAGTACATATTTCTAGTCTCAGAGACAGCAGGCCTAAGCGTTGTCCCCCGAAAAAGAAAAAAAAAAAAAAAAAAAGGAAAGGAAACTGGTCGTACAAAGTTCTAATGCATTCGTTCCTTCATCTCTGTTTGTCCGTTTCCAAATCCTGCCAGTCGGATACATCATTCCTTTCCATATGCCTGGGTATGATAGATCACCGTCGAATCATTCAAGAACACGCTTCCAAATCATTGCATTGCAACGAGAAAAAAAGAAAGAAGAAGAAAAAAACAAACAAAAATACGCCAAGGATATAAGGCAAATAAAATC